ATATAATCCCCTGCCTCCATTATTGATACCCTGCTGGAGTGGAGCTAATGAGCCTGAAGACTATATCCTAGGGTCTGTGGTTTACATTAAGCTTTACACTTGCTTTTATACATTTTGAAGGTTGGAGCAAATGTATAATGACATATATCAATTATTATAGCATCAGAAAGTAATTCTATTGCCCCAAGCTTTTCTGTTCCTCCTATCTTTCCTTCCTCTGTTGGAAGCACACGGCCCTCAGAAATGAGTAGAGACAGAACTCAGCAGGCACACTGGGTAGGATGGTCTGCTCGCCCAAGGGTGACCTTGCCCCTCCTCCTTGTTACTGAGGAGTCAGGTTCACTATTTTCTTTACACTTGGTTTACCAGAATGATGAGTTAATACAAGGCAGTTGGAAAATACTAACCATCAGTGAAAGGTCCCTGTTGGGGGTTGGGTGGGGGCAAAGGCACACATTTTTCTCCTCATGGTGGAGTGGGGCTGGGAATGGTTCTAGTTGGAGGAAGTCGGTAAACCCAGGGGAAAGTTCTCACTCAAGAGAACTCCATTGACATGACTTGATCACAGACAACACAGATGATAGTTAAAATTGAAATCAAGAGGCAAAGAATTTAAAAAAAAAAACATGAGTACCAGGAAATATCAGTGTACAATGGTGACTGGCTACAAGATAGATACATTTTAGTTTGACAGAAAAGATTGCTTCTTCTCACTCTTCTGTCAACATACCCAGAACCAGTAGGGCTTATAAGGAGGGACTGATGATGGGAACTGTTTCACATAATTAAGAAGGCCAGTGTCATGCCATAATGGTGTGCAGGCTGAAGAACCCCAGAGAAGTAACGGGCGCACCTCCGTCTAAATCCAGGGCTGAAGACTGGGGAGCCTGAGGGGGGCTGAAGGCGGGAAGCCTAGAGCTGTGGTGCAGAGCTGAAGGGAAGGGTCGCGGATCCTGAGCAGTGACGCTCCTTCTCTGTTTTCCGTGATTTAACCTCCTGTCACAATCCCCGCTCACCAAAATTGTAGCTCTGTGTGTATCCCACTACTGATGCAGGTTAATAGGTTAACCAGAATTTCAGCCAGAAATAAAATTTTCTACTAGAATTAAGAAAAGAAAGTGCTATATTCTTCTTCCACATTTGACCCCTTTACTAGAAAACTTGGCTTGTCAGTTTTACTAGCTCAGTTACTAGACATGTCTCGTGTTTTTCAAATATTGGCAAGTCATTTGTCTAAATTTCAGAACTAGTAAAGTTGTATCTGTTAATTAATGTATTTATATATTTATGTATTTGCCAGAACTGAGACTTGAACTTAGGACCTGGATGCTGTTCCTTGGCTCTTTCACTCAAAGTTTATGAGCCACAGTTCTACTTCTGGCTTTTTTGGTGGTTAATTGGAGATGTGAGTCGCACGAACTTTTGTGCCAGGGTTAGCTTCAAACTGCAGATTGCAGCCTTCTGAGCTAAGATTATAGTCATGAGCCACTGGTGCCTGGCTCCCTTCTATTTTAGAGGAAAAGATGAACAGGATCTGATATCCATGGATATGTAAGGCAGGCGGTGGCTTCTTTGGGATCATTGATTCTGGACTCTTCCAGCCAGCCCTTACTAAGCCCTCCTGCTAGGCTAGGATGGTTCTTCTGAGTCATTCCTTAGCTGTGTCCTTGCAGAAGACAAAGGAGGTAGCAGAGGGCTGGGTGTGCTCCTGAAAAGCAGAATCTCATCCACAGTTAGTTTTCCCTAAAGAATGTCCTTTTTCTGCAGAAATTAAGAAAGGAATAAATACTTCAGACAGCTGTCCTAGCCTCGATGTGTACTCATAAAACTGCTTGACAAACATGCACAGCTCTCAGTCTAGGGAAGGAAGGCAAGAACTAAAGTTTAGGCCTGTTTTGTTTTTTTTTTTGGGGGGGGGGGCGGGGGGGGGGGGTCCAGTCGTGGGGCCTGAACTCTGGGCCTGGCTGCTGTCCCTCAGCTCTTCAGCTCAAGGCTAGCGCTCTACCACTTGAGCCACAGCGCCACTTCTGGCTTTTTTCTTTTTTCTTTTTTTTGCTTATGTGGTGCTGAGGAATCGAACCCAAGGCCTCATGCACGCAAGTCAAGCGCTCTACCACTGAGCCACCTTCCCAGTCCTAGGCCTGTTTTTGAGATGGGGTTTCTTTGTGTATGAGACACCCGCTTGGACTTGAACTCACAATCTGCTTTATTACAGTGATGCGTCATCATATATAGTTGATTGTTATTTTAACACAATTGAACATAGGATTCCAACCTTTTTTTTTCTGGTCAGTTGTGGGCCTTGAACTTGGCCTGGGCACTATCCCTGAGCTCTTCAGCTCAAGGCAAGTGCCCTACCACTTCAGCCACAGTGCCACTTCCGGCTTTCTGGATTCCCAGCATGTATTTCTCTTACGTTATTGGTCTTCCTAGGAATTACAGTGCTATGTTGAAGAGAAATGGAGAGAGTGAACACCCTTGGCTTGTTCCTGATGTTGGAGGCGATGGTTTTAGTTTTTCACTCTTAAGTGTGATGCTGGCTGTAGGTTTGTCACAAACATCCTCTATTATATTGAGGAATGTTGCATGTATTCTTAGCTTCTCCAGAGCTTTTGTCATTTTGGAATGATCATGTGATTCTTGTTGTTGTATTTATGTATTTATTTATTTTTGGTTCTAGTCCTGAACCGTGAACTTAGGGTGTAGGCCCTGTCCCTGGGCTCTTGTGCTCAAGGCTAGCACTCTACCATTTGAGCCACAGCTCTACTCCTGGCTGATGTTCAAGTAGAGATAAGAATCTCACAAACTTTTCTGCCTGAGTTAGCTTTGAGCCGCAGTCCTCATCCATCATGCCTCTTGAGTAGCAGGAGCTGCTGGTGGCTGCCTGAGACCCTATTTAAGTAATTTTAGACCGTGGAGGATATTGTCTCCGGTGCTGCCTTCTTGTCTCAGCCCCCGCTCCAGGGCTGCAGCTGGGTGCACCAGGGTGTAGATTTTTTTACCCTTGCACCATGAGGCCAGGTAGGAGAAGAGCAGGGTGGGCTCTTAGGAGTGTCCCAGCTTCCCAGCTCCTAAAGAGCTAGCTGGGGAATGGTTCTTCCCGCGTTTCTGGCCCAGTGGTGGGGCCGCCGGTGTCTGCAGGGTGGTGTCCTCGGCTCTCCTGTGTGACACCCTCATACCTGGAGCAGCCATCTCTGTTCCATCACGGGTCAGCTTCAGTGCGGACAGAGATTGCCCACCTGCTGAGGGTCCTGTCAGGGCACTGCTAGAGCTCTGCTAACACAGGAATACGGTGTGCAGGGTGTTGGTAACAAGTCTTTTCTGAAGAAAAGTCTGGTATAGCCTCAAAGGGTAGCCAGCGAGAAGGAGACACTCTGGAGAGGTTGTGTCTGTGAGACTCCGATATTAGTCCCCTGGGTAACTAGGATTGCAGGTCTGAGCCACCGGTGCCTGGCAAATATTTTACTAATAACCTGGTGGGCAAGAATGGATGTATTGTGGGTATATTTGTTGTTTTTTTTTTGGGGGGGGGGTTCCGGTCGTGGGGCCTGAACTCTGGGCCTGGGTGCTGTCCCTCAGCTCTTCAGCTCAAGGCTAGCGCTCTACCACTTGAGCCACAGCGCCACTTCCGGCTTTTTTCTTTTTGCTTATGTGGTGCTGAGGAATCGAACCCAGGGCCTCATGCATGCAAGGCAAGCGCTCTACCACTGAGCCACCTTCCCAGCCCCTTGTGGGTATATTTGGTTAAGTAAAATATTTTGAAGTGGACTTCCCCTGTTTCTTTCCAGCTCTTAGTGTGGTCACTAGGACATGTAAAATGCCAACTGCTCTGGCCGTAGATGGCAGCAGTGCAGGAGCAAGGGCAAGCTGACACCAGCTCTCTTACTTGTTGCATGGGCAAAAGAGGGCAATCGTAAGTCTTCCAACTCAGAATGTTAAGTCTAGCAGACATACGGCTTGGGATGCAATAGCACTTGGTTCTGGTGGGATTGGAGATCATCTCTGAGGAGGGTTCTTGGGAACAAACTAACTGAACAATACACGGGAACTGATTAGGACTGGCTGCGATGGGAAGGAGAAAAGGTAGTGAATGACAGTGCTTATATCTGCAGAGACGTTGCAGGGATGTGTGCAAGTGAGCAGGTTGCTGTGGTTCTAGGAAATGAGAGAACAGGCACCAGGTGCAGTAGCAGCATTATGAAGGCAGAGCTTGCCGGTGGTGGGGTTGTTTGTATTTGTGTGTGTCTTTCTTTCTTATGTGGTGGAGAGGGCTCAGGTTGTGGGTGTCAAGAGAGACATGCATCTGCCGTCTCTCCTGTGTGCTGTGGGTGTGGGTGCTCTGAGCGTTGAGTGTAGGAGAGCAGGCATTGATGAGCTGGTGCTGCTGAGTTGGCTCTAGGGCGGCCTGCGCGGAGGCCTCCCTCGGGGCAGGATTCTGACCCACTGTACGCACGTGGTGCACAGGCTACGTGGCTGGCTTAAACTGTCTGCTTCTACACCGCTTTAATAGGGTGCTTTTAAAAATGCACCTTTGGATAATGTGGCTATTTTTCTTTGTGTTTCAGATTCCTGTATGAATCATCAATGCGAACTTTGAGAGAACTTCTGAACTCATGAGCAGGTCACCATCTTTGGACATGTACAAATGGGGAAGGACTCACAAAAATGAAATTTGTGTCCATTTTCCTGTGTGTTGTGTTGTTTTGCTGTGCTGTGTTTTGTGGCTAGGCTAAGCATGGAGGGTCCCCTGAGCCTGTACACGAAGGGGCCTGGTCTGAGCTTCCCGGAGGTGAAGATGGCACGCAGCAGTGTGCCTCCTGCTAGTAGCTGTCTGAGAGCAGGCAGCGAGCTGGCATGGTCAGGGAACTAAAGGTCAAGGTGGAGGATAGCCGGCAAGGAGTTTATTCCTTCTGTACGTGAGAGTGAGCCAGTGTAGGAAAAACATGGCCTCACACCTGTCTGTGGGACTAGCTGCCAGGCCAGCTTCGGAACCAGCCTGCAGTAGCGCTCCTTGCTCCAGATACTACACTGTCATCCGTTGTGCAATGAATGTGTAGACCTACAGCCTCTGATGTGAAAAGTGTCCTTAGTGTCTGACCTTAAATCTGAACCCAGCAGCCTCAAAGTCTGCAGTAGTAGCCTCTTTCCACTAAAGTCAAGGTAAACTCATAGTGACCAAAGAAATTTGATCTCTTTAGAGTCTAAAGTATAAACAATGAGCAATATAAACCAGTTAGTTAATTCATAGTCCAATGGCAAAAGTTTGAGCTAGGGTATCTCAGGCCCTCCTGCCTGAGGGCCACAGCAGAGACTCCGTTCTTGCCTCATTTCTACTCTTCAGGAAGAGGCACAGTAACTGGAGGTTTGTTGAGTGCTTGCGTAAATAGTATATTTAATATCAAGGATGTTGGTGGTGTTGCTGTACAAACCCCTGGTACAAAGTAAAAAGGACACTTTTCTTCCAGCAAAACTGCTTTTAGAAATGATGTGTGTGTCTACATGTGTGTGTATAACTTGCAAACAGTGAGAAGCAGCCACATGTTTGTGTATTTCATTAATAAATATTAGTGAGTTCTCTCTGGGAGAAAAAGGTTACTTTCTTGGATAAACCTCACATTAGGTTCCCTGAAGGCCAAGTTTCAGGGCCTCCCCCAGTGAGCTGCAGTAGGAACGTAGAATCCATCCTGCATTGAGACCTGGGCACCGTCCCCATGAGCTGTGAGGAACACGGATCCGTCATCCATGGAGACCTGGGCACCGTCCCCAGGAGCTGTGAGGAACACGGATCCATCATCCATGGAGACCTGGGCACCGTCCCCATGAGCTGTGAGGAACACAGGTCCTTCGTCCATGGAGACCTGGGCACCGTCCCCATGAGCTGTGAGGAACACGGATCCGTCGTCCATGGAGACCTGGGCACCTTCCCCATGAGCTGTGAGGAACACGGATCCGTCATCCATGGAGACCTGGGCACCGTCCCCATGAGCTGTGAGGGACACGGATCCATCGTCCATGGAGACCTGGGCACCGTCCCCATGAGCTGTGAGGGACACGGATCCATCGTCCATGGAGACCTGGGCACCGTCCCCATGAGCTGTGAGGGACACGGATCCATCGTCCATGGAGACCTGGGCACCGTCCCCATGAGCTGTGAGGGACACGGATCCATCGTCCATGGAGACCGATGAGCTGTGAGGGACACGGATCCATCGTCTATGGAGACCTGGGCACCGTCCCCATGAGCTGTGAGGGACACGGATCCATCGTCCATGGAGACCTGGGCACCGTCCCCATGAACTGTGAGGAACACAGGTCCTTCGTCCATGGAGACCTGGGCACCGTCCCCATGAGCTGTGAGGGACACGGATCCGTCGTCCATGGAGACCTGGGCACCGTCCCCATGAGCTGTGAGGGACACGGATCCGTCGTCCATGGAGACCTGGGCACCGTCCCCATGAGCTGTGAGGAACACAGGTCCGTCATCCATGGAGACCTGGGCACCGTCCCCATGAGCTGTGAGGAACACGGATCCGTCGACCATGGAGACCTGGGCACCGTCCCCATGAGCTGTGAGGGACACGGATCCGTCATCCATGGAGACCTGGGCACCGTCCCCATGAGCTGTGAGGGACACAGATCCATCGTCCATGGAGACCTGGGCACCGTCCCCATGAGCTGTGAGGGACACGGATCTGTCGTCCATGGAGACCTGGGCACCGTCCCCATGAGCTGTGAGGAACACGGATCTGTCATCCATGGAGACCTGGGCACCATCCCCATGAGCTGTGAGGAACACGGATCCGTCATCCATGGAGACCTGGGCACCGTCCCCATGAGCTGTGAGGGACACGGATCCGTCGTCCATGGAGACCTGGGCACCGTCCCCATGAGCTGTGAGGGACACGGATCCGTCGTCCATGGAGACCTGGGCACCGTCCCCATGAGCTGTGAGGAACACGGATCCATCATCCATGGAGACCTGGGTACCATTAGGAGTGGAACGTGGTACAGTGTAGGCTACAAATGGACCCTAATGATCCCCTCCTTTTTTCTGAGTATTGTTAGCATATTTACTGGAACAATATTGTGTGTTTATGGTAACTTTCTAACCTGCCCTATGGTGCTGGGTAGTCTCAGAGCACCCTGGGTTCTGATAAACACACATTTGAATAGATCATAATTTAGTGCTATTTAAACTTCATATTTAGTCTGATTTCAGCCTCGAAACCAAAAAAAAAAAAAATGCTGAGCTGGGCACCAGTGGCTTACTCCTGTAATCCTAGCTACTCAGGAGGCTGAGATCTGAGGATCATAGTTCAAAGCCAGCCTGGGCAGGAAAGTCCGTGAAACTTTTTCTTGGGGCTTGAACTCTGGGTTTGGTCGCTGTCCCTCAGCTCAAGGCAAGCGCTCTACCACTTGAGCTACAGCACCACTTCCGGTTTTCTGGTGGTTTATTGGAGATAAGTTTCACAGACTTTCCAGCCAGGCTGGCTTTGAACCTCGGTCTTCAGATCTCAGCCTCCCTGAGTTGCTAGGATGACAGGCATGAGCCACTGGCACCTGATTCCGTGAAACTCTTATCTCCAATAAACCACTTGAAAACCGGAAGTGGCACTGTGGCTCATGTGGTAGAGCGCTTGCCTTGAGCTGAAGAATGCAGGGACAGCACCCAAGCCCAGGGTTCAAGCCCCATGAATGACCAAGACGAAAACCAAAAAATAAGTGCTAATAACATGGTGTGAAGCTACAAGAAATCTACTTCTGAGAGTAGGAAGGAACATTTAAGGCTTTACTGGGGAATTGCTGAGCAATAGCAGGATACAGATTAGTATTCCAGCGAATACAGTTAATTTTGAAAATCTGTCCACACATGTTTGCTAACTATACCATGCTCTATCGGCATATGACATTGTTGCTACAAACATTCTATCAATTTTAATAAACCAGTTACTTGTTGGGAAGGGTTTGTGCTAATTTGTCACTGCCAGTTAATTGAGGATGAAATCCTGTTTTACACAGAAATGCGGCCTCTGATTTTCCTAGCGGGGTTCACATCCACCATGAGCGAAGACCACACTCACCATCCTTGCTCACGAGTGGCCGTGTACTCTGATAGTTCCATGGCATGCTGTGTCTGTAAGCCTCTCCAACATCTTGTCTGGAGGAGAATTGATAGTGATACTGCTGCTGCATTATCCTGTGAGAATGGTGTAGGTTTCAGATACACACACACATGCTTCACATTGAGCTTCTGAGGCTTCATGAGAAGTGGAAGCCCATGCTTGGAACTGAGACCAGAGTTCATATCTCACAGCTACAGTGAGAACCCCCCCATCGCTGCCACCAGGCACCTCAACCGCCCCCTGCCCAGCTCCCCTCGAGTGCTCCATTCCCAGTGTCAGTCATTCTGAAGGCCAGGTCCCTCAATGACTTGTAGGTGGCAAGCTTGGTGACACATGCCTGTAGTTTTAGTACTCATTGTCAAAACAAGACTTGCCTAGGGGCCGAGATTGGGAGGACTGTGGGTTGCTCAACAAAACTGTCATGGTCAGGTGCCGATGGCTCTCACCTGTCATCCTAGGAGGAGACAGATCTGAGGGTCGCAGTCCAAAGCCAGCTCTGGCCGGAAAGTCCATGAGACTGATCTCCAATTAAACTCCAGAAATCTGGAAGTGGAGCTATAGGTCAAAGTAGTAAAGTGCTAGAAAAAGAGCCAGGCCCAGACTTCAGGCCCCATGACAAACAACAGAAAAAACGCATGGCCAGTGCCCGTCTTCTTTTCAAGTTATTCAGATGGCTCTTGGGCCCTAGGAAGATGTGTCTGCCATTGGACCTGAAAGACAGTGCCCTTCTCAGCTGCCCTGGTTTGAAGTCAGGCCTGGAGCACAGGCGGTGCTGGCCGGGTAGTGTAATCCAGCGACTGGAGTCAGGACCGTGTTCACAGGTGGTACTGGCCGGGTGTTCTAATCCAGCGACTGGAGTCAGGACCGTGTTCACAGGCAGTGCTGGCCAGGTGTTCTAATCCAGTGATTGGAGTCAGGACCGTGTTCACAGGCAGTGCTGGCTGGGTGCTCTAATCCAGCGATTGGAGTCAGGACCGTGTTCACAGGTGGTGCTGGCCGGGTAGTGTAATCCAGCGACTGGAGTCAGGACCGTGTTCACAGGTGGTGCTGGCCGGGTGTTCTAATCCAGTGATTGGAGTCAGGACCGTGTTCACAGGCAGTGCTGGCTGGGTGTTCTAATCCAGCGATTGGAGTCAGGACCGTGTTCACAGGTGGTGCTGGCCAGGTGTTCTAATCCAGTGATTGAAGTCAGGTCTGTGTGCCAAGGTCTGACTGCCTTTCTTGGAATTGGCAGGTAAATCATCTTGTTGGTGAATTCTGCTTGAAGGATCTCTGCCAGCCCCCAGCCCTCTGAAGTCTCCTGAAGCCTTGCTGATTGACTGGTGCCTTTGTGGGATGGCAGATTACCCTCAGCCCCACGTTACATGACGTGGCAGTGAGGCAGCGAAGTGGGGTGCTTTCTCTGGGAGCTCTCCCTACGGTTTCTATCTGTGGGTTCCCCATTCTCTCCACCATTCTGGGCACAGGGTCTGGACAGACCGATGGGAGGAGAGGAACTGGTTTAGGGGAGAAGAGGGTTGTTTCGGGAGCTAAGAAGGTACAGGGTGTAGCAAGGCCTAGCAAGAAAGTGGTGGAAGTTTGAAACCTCGGGACAGTAGGCTCAACACTGGTTTTATGGGCTGAGCTGACGGGAGCACCTTTAGTATCACAGTAAACCCAGGCGGCCACACATCAGTTCCCATACCTCGGGTAGGGGTGTGCAGAGGATGGGGTGGGAAGGCTAGCTTCCCCTGGCTGGAGCACTGGCAGGTGGACAGGGAGGAGGGAGGGGGGTGTGGGGAGGATGGGGGTGGGAGGATGGGAGTGTGGGGAGGAGGATGGGGAGGATGGGGTGTGGGGAGGAGGATGGGGAGGATGGGGTGTGGAGAGGATGGGGTGTGGGGAGGATGGGGTGTGGGGAGGTGGATGGGGTGTGGGGAGGAGGATGGGGAGGATGGGGTGTGGGGAGGATGGGGTGTGGGGAGGATGGGGAGGATGGGGTGTGGGGAGGATGGGGAGGATGGGGTGTGGGGAGGATGGGGAGGATGGGGTGTGGGGAGGTGGATGGGGAGGATGGGGTGTGGGGAGGTGGATGGGGAGGATGGGGTGTGGGGAGGATGGGGTGTGGGGAGGAGGATGGGGAGGATGGCGTGTGGGAAGGATGGGGAGGATGGGGTGTGGGGAGGTGGATGGGGAGGATGGGGTGTGGGGAGGATGGGGAGGATGGGGGTGTGGGGAGGATGGGGAGGATGGGGTGTGGGGAGGAGGATGGGGAGGATGGGGAGGATGGGGTGTGGGGAGGATGGGGTGTGGGGAGGATGGGGAGGATGGGGTGTGGGGAGGATGGGGAGGATGGGGGTGTGGGGAGGATGGGGTGTGGGGAGGATGGGGGTGTGGGGAGGATGGGGAGGATGGGGTGTGGGGAGGAGGATGGGGAGGATGGGGTGTGGGGAGGATGGGGAGGATGGGGTGTGGGGAGGATGGGGAGGATGGGGGTGTGGGGAGGATGGGGTGTGGGGAGGATGGGGGTGTGGGGAGGATGGGGAGGATGGGGTGTGGGGAGGAGGATGGGGAGGATGGGGTGTGGGGAGGATGGGGAGGATGGGGTGTGGGGAGGATGGGGTGTGGGGAGGATGGGGAGGATGGGGTGTGGGGAGGATGGGGAGGATGGGGTGTGGGGAGGACGGGGAGGATGGGGTGTGGGGAGGATGGGGTGTGGGGAGGATGGGGTGTGGGGAGGACGGGGAGGATGGGGTGTGGGGAGGATGGGGAGGATGGGGTGTGGGGAGGATGGGGAGGATGGGGTGTGGGGAGGATGGGGAGGATGGGGAGGATGGGGAGGAGGATGGGGAGGATGGGGAGGAGGATGGGGTGTGGGGAGGATGGGGAGGATGGGGTGTGGGGAGGATGGGGAGGATGGGGAGGATGGGGAGGAGGATGGGGAGGATGGGGAGGAGGATGGGGAGGATGGGGTGTGGGGAGGATGGGGAGGATGGGGTGTGGGGAGGACGGGGAGGATGGGGTGTGGGGAGGTGGATGGGGAGGATGGGGAGGATGGGGTGTGGGGAGGATGGGGAGGATGGGGTGTGGGGAGGTGGATGGGGAGGATGGGGTGTGGGGAGGTGGATGGGGAGGATGGGGTGTGGGGAGGATGGGGTGTGGGGAGGATGGGGTGTGGGGAGGATGGGGAGGATGGGGTGTGGGGAGGATGGGGTGTGGAGAGGATGGGGAGGATGGGGAGGATGGGGTGTGGGGAGGATGGGGTGTGGGGAGGATGGGGAGGATGGGGTGTGGGGAGGATGGGGTGTGGAGAGGATGGGGAGGATGGGGAGGATGGGGTGTGGGGAGGATGGGGTGTGGGGAGGATGGGGAGGATGGGGTGTGGGGAGGATGGGGTGTGGAGAGGATGGGGAGGATGGGGAGGATGGGGTGTGGGGAGGATGGGGTGTGGGGAGGATGGGGAGGATGGGGTGTGGGGAGGATGGGGTGTGGAGAGGATGGGGAGGATGGGGAGGATGGGGTGTGGGGAGGATGGGGTGTGGGGAGGATGGGGAGGATGGGGTGTGGGGAGGATGGGGTGTGGAGAGGATGGGGAGGATGGGGAGGATGGGGTGTGGGGAGGATGGGGTGTGGGGAGGATGGGGAGGATGGGGTGTGGGGAGGATGGGGTGTGGAGAGGATGGGGAGGATGGGGAGGATGGGGTGTGGGGAGGATGGGGTGTGGGGAGGATGGGGTGTGGAGAGGATGGGGAGGATGGGGAGGATGGGGTGTGGGGAGGATGGGGTGTGGGGAGGATGGGGAGGATGGGGTGTGGGGAGGATGGGGAGGATGGGGTGTGGGGAGGATGGGGTGTGGGGAGGATGGGGTGTGGGGAGGACGGAGAGGAAGTGCTCCTGTGAGGAGGATGAGGACCGCGGGTCCCAGGTGTGGGGACAGACGCGCCCGGACGCTGGTCGGCCTGGCCGTGCGGTCCAGCCCCCATGGACCGGCAGGGGGCGCAGCGGGGTGGGGGAGGAGCAAGGGCAGGGCTGGGTGGGCGTGGCCAGAGGCCGGCGGGGCGGGGCCGGCAGGCGGGATCGGAGAAGGGGCGGGGTCGGCGGCGGCGGGGCGGGGCCGGCGGGCGGGGTAGGGGCAGAAGGCGGGGCCTGCGGCGGCCAGACGGGAGCC